AAGTTAAAGAAATTCTCCGCTATCGCTTAAATGTCGCCCAAGTAGTTAAAAAGGCGATAGCAAAGCCAAAGCTAAGCATCTTTGCAATTTCGCCAAGGTATTTCTATTCGTCTGACTCTAGAGATGAGAAACAATGTCAGAGATTTGCTGAGAAGACAAGCACACTCGACTGCAGTTCATCAATCAGGGCGACGAGCCAGACAACATCATTGATCAATCAATGAATGGGGCATGGCGCCTGGGCATACCTACAGCAATAGGTATATGGTATGGGGCATGGGGCATGGGGCATGCCCGTCGTTGTCGTTGTCGTTGTCCAAATGAAAATTCAATCAATTGGCTGACATTTAATGGAGGGAGACGTCAAATGTGATTGATTGATTGTTTGATTGATAATTAAAAGTGGCGCCTGCAAGCCGACGCACAGCGCCAAATGGCGACAGACAACTTGTTGCTGCGCCAAGAGCAGCAAGAGAGATGCGAGAGAGAGAGATGAGAGAGAGAGATGGGAGGGAGATAGATGAGAGAGGGAGAGAAGAAGCAGAACTGCAGTAAGCTACATTTAACATTATGATAATCTGGCGCTTGCTAATTATGTGCGCCGCTTTCAAGTTTCGCCGCAGAAGCTTAGAAAGAAGCCTCCAAACTCTGGACGAGCGACTGGCAACTGGCAACTGGGAACTGCTGACGACAGTTGAGAGCCGAGAACTGGAACTGGTGACTGGGCCAGTATTTTATTGTCATTATTGGGTTTTTCTCATACAATTTGAATATAATTTAAAACGGCGCCTGCTTCAGGCGCCTCACAAAATCAATGTCTTTCAATACACTTCTGCTGCGAGTCTTTCCAGTTTGACCATCAGGCTTGACGTCAGACACAGATTTATTTAGCTTAGAAAGTCTCTGACGTACAAATCTTCGAATATACGCTTAGCACAAGGCAGGGAGCAAAAGGCAGCTGGTTCGAACTGTGAAAGGATTCACTGGCAGGTTCTTTTTGGCTTTGCTGCTCTGCATATGATATAATTATATTTCTTATTAAGGCTCTTATATTCTGTCTCTCGGAGAATTTAGTCTAAAACACATTTTGATTTTGACATTCTTCAATATTTTAGCTAACGTATTTAAATACATTTTATATATAAAAACAAATGTAGATACTTTTTATGTTTATCTTAACAAAAGTAGAGTACTTAATGTAAAAATAAAGGGAAAATCGATGGGAATTTCTATTAGCAAATCTACAAAAAGTCATATAATATTTTATTTCCAGATAAATTACTTATAAAATTCAAATTAAATCAAGCATAGGGTATGCAAAGTGCGTTGCCGCTTGCTTTCTAATCTCAAGTTTTTATCTTTATTTGTATTTTGTTTTTGGCCACGTTTTGCGACTGGCCAAAAGAGTTTGTTTTGTGTTGCCAGCTAATGAGCTTTATTTAATTTTATTAATGGAATTGCCAACATTTATCATAAATTACAAATCGTGATCGTGATAAGAGCGCCAACAACAACAACAATTGGCTGACTAGACGGGACTCTCCAGTTGCCAGTTGCCAGTTGGCAGTTGGCGATCTGCGATCTGCGATCTTCTCCAGCGTCAGCTGCGACGTCGACGTCGACTTCGTGTCATCTGTTCATCTATTGAATAATTAAGTTGTCGTGTGTTGCTTTGATAATGACACACAATATCGCTGTTTCTATGCCCTACTGCAGGGTATTAGGATTTTGCCGTGAATGATGAAACCCCCAGCCCATGGAGTATATATATATAATTATATATGTTATCTTGATCAGCAACAACAGTTGCAACTGTAGTCGACGATTAATAAGACGCAGCATCTTTTGAATCTGTCGTCAAATGTTCAACTTAATTTGAACATTTGGTCTATACTCGATCTACCCTGTATATAGATTTCAAAGACATCGATTGACTATAGCATATGGCTACATAGATCCCAAATTGTATTCTCTGCGGAAAACTTGTCTGTTCTGCAAGACAACGGCAACTACGAACTACACTATATCCGCCATAATTCTGAAAGGGTATTTGAACTTCGACGTGCCGCCGCTTTTGTTGTTCTCTTGTGTTTGCCTTTGAAGCGCCGCATTCAAATGATTTGCTTAATTTTATTGCCCATTTTTTGGCTTTAAATTTGGTTAGCCATTGTCTGGCTGTGGGCAGTACCCAAAAAAACAAAAAAAAAACAAAAAAACACACACACACCTGAGTAACCCTTCCTCGCCGCCTGCCGCAACTCGAGCTTCAGTTTTATTGTGAAGCATTTGCTAAAAAGCTAAAAGCTAATCAGCTTTTATTTATTAGCTGGAAATAGTTTTTTGCTTTCAACTTTTGTTGTTGCCGTTGTTGTTGTTGTTGCATATTTTCGTAGAAATTTATGCCATAATTGTCTGTCTGGCCCGATCGGGTTTGCATCATTCATTGCGGCGCTCCGCAACGCAAGTGTCCTGTATCCGTCGGCTGTCTCCGCCATTGGCTGCCAATCAAAGCGCTGGCGCCAGGGCGCAGCTACAAAATTGCTGCCGCAGCAGCAACAATTGCTACTTCCAGTTGCAACAGCAGCAGCAGCAGCTTTTGATGAAATGCGCACAATTGTAATTCAATCCGAATGCATTGTGGCCCGAAGCGACACCAACGCGGCCTGCGGTTGTGCTTTGTTGTTGTTGCTGTCTTGTATACCCTGTACTTATACGAAATGGGTAAACTGTCGTGTGCATATGTATGTAACAGAAAGGAATAAGCATCTTCCCGATCAGAACGACAAGCTGAGTCGATTTTTAAACATATTTTTAGCTTATTAGCAATTATTATATAGATATATTCAATCATCGATAAATATCGATTTTGAGATCTGTTTTTTTTTGTGTAGCACAGCTTTAAAAATACAATTTGTAGATACTCCAAACTTGGTATAGTATAGTCACTTGGCATACTCGTATAGTATATTCAGATTAAGAATATTTCACTTTCATGGACTAGCATTAGGGTAAATGGGGACTTATCCAAAAATTGAAAAAACCAATTCTTTTTCTAAGTTAGAACCTTATACCTTGGTATATGCTCACTTATATATATCAAATTTATCACAGCTGCGCAGAAGGATGCTGCACTTAGGGTATTTCCTAGTCGAGCACTCTGATTTGTTGTTGTTGCTGTCAACTGAGCCAAGTGCTTATGGTCACAATGACACTTGCTGCCACTGGCAGCTACTTGATTATTGGATTAATTGCATTACGAAACAGCACAAAAAATATGCGATCAGCACGTGCTCGACTAGTAAATACCCTTTTACACATTAAACACATGCATCAAGCTATTGTATAAGGTCTTAAATATCCCTAATAGATACTTATAACTTTTGTTTTTGGTTCAAAATTTAACGTTTTACTAAAAAGTATGCGGCTTATTCATTCAATAAAGATAATCTCTCAAAAACTATTAAATAGTTGTACTCTAATCTAGCTTTAAGCTTTAAGTTAACTCTGATGCATGCGCTTTGTGCGCTTAATCTAAATGCAAAAAGCTCACTTAAAGCTTTCGCCTAGCTAAAAAGCTTACAGCTTTGACTAAATGCCATAAACTCGATTAAAGCTTTGGACTAATGGAAGGAGCTCACTTAAAGCCCACGCGTAACTTTACGAAAAAGCTAACGTAAAGCTGTACTTTAAAGCTATCGCTAAATGCTATAATCTCGCTTAAAGCTTTCGCCTAACGCAATTAAGCAAGCTTCAGGCGGTCCTTTAAAGCAATTAAGCTATTAAACTAAATGAAAAAAGCTCCCTTAAAGCGTTCGCATAATACAAATATAGGTACATAGCTTAAAGTTGGCACTAAATGCAATAAGCTAGATAAAGCTCACTAAAAAGCTTAATTAAAGCTATCATTTAAAGCTCTCGCTTAAGCAAGCTTCCGGCGGTCCTGCAAAGCAATTCAGCATGTAAGAAGCTTTTGCGTAATTAGTAAAAGAAAGCTTAAAGCTTTCTATAACTACACTCAGGCTCAAAGCCAAAGCTTGAGCTGAGTATAAAATAGTTCGTTCAAGCTTCCAAAAATCAAATACATTTACATGAATAAGTTGATGAAAATAAGTGAACCTAAAAATCGCTTGAACTTAAATCTGAGCTTTATATTCACCTGGTGTCATTTGGCGCTTTACTCAGCAGTAAATCTGATTTGTGCTGTAACATGAATATATTTTGAACAAATTAATTTTTGTTAAGTAGTGTACCAGCTGTGGTTCTCCCGTTTTGTATGGCAAACAACGAACATGTTGTAAAAAATGTGTATTTAAAATAATTATCCATGAGTATTATTGAGTGTTAAAGTGATCTTCACAAGAGACGAAGGTGCTTCTTTCGTCTGCAGGTGTTTTTTGTTTTGTTTTTTCATTTGTTAAGATCTTACATTTAGAAATACTTATCAAAGAGAAGAAAGACGAGCTGAGTCGATCGAGACGTTTCCGCCTGTCTCTCTGTGAGTTAATCTCGGAAGCTACAAGGTCTAGAGATTGAAGATTTAAAATATATATTCTCGTATATCATGCGCATAGTTTTTTGTCGTTATCGAGTCCCTTTTCCATAATATCGATAAATATCGATCTTAAGACTTGGTTTTTTAAGCATGACTCGAAGATTGTATAACACACAGCTGAAATGTATTTCACTTTTTGGACATCTTCTCCCATTCCCTTCCAAATTGACAGAATAATCATTTTCAAAGGTACAACCTTGAGCTTTGGTATGTACATATGCTTGGTTTTGTGTTCTTATGTAGAAATTAGGAAGCAACAATGTTTGTAAGCCTAATACAGGGTATCGTTTAGTCGGTCAGCCCGACTAGAGCACACTCACACGCTTGAATTACGTATCTCTTCACGATTCCGTCTAAATTTTAAGTGTAGCAGTAAAATACTTTTGCTAAAATATAATTGAAATCTTTTGGAAATTAATCAACTTATTATTTATGCTTTGCCTTGCAGCTGCGCGACAATCTGACCGTGCTGGGATTGGGATTGGGATTGGGCTTGGGTGCCTGCATATAATGCAATTGCGGCCATGTGCCCACTAATTGCCAAGCTGTTAAAACGCATGGACAACGGCTAACGGCCACCCAGAGTGCGAATACTAAGGAGCATAAGAGACACTAAGAGAGAGAGAGAGAGAACCAGTTGTGAGAATTTGCGTACTTAAGCGTTCAATTATGAAGCGCCTTTATCTGAGCAGCCTGCTCTGCCTGTGGCTGAGCTGCGTCGGCTGCGAATCGCTTTATGGCCTGCACACGGACGAGCTGGTGGCGGGCGAGGGGCAGCTGGTGGTGCCGCGGCGTGTGCACGCCGACGGCGCGTTCATGACGCACACCCTCCACTATGCCCACCAGCGGGATCATCGACGGCAGCGTCGCAGCGTTGAGGCACAGCCCGAGCTGCATATCCAGCTGCCGCTGCGCGACGAGACGCTGCATCTGGAGCTGACGTAAGTCTTTGTCTTTGGCCAATCTGCGGCAGCAGCTCTTAACCATGCCCCATTGTGCATTGCAGACCGCACAGCTACTTTCTGGCGCCGCATCTAATTGTGGAGCGACATCGTCGCGATCTGCGCACACGTGCGCCGCCGCCAGCGCATCAGCTCAATTGCCATTTTCACGGCAAGGTGCGCGGCCAGCCCTCGGCCAACGTGGCCATATCCACCTGCTCCGGTCTGGTGAGTGATTATCTAATCTTCAATTTGATACTTATATATAATATGCAGGTCGCAAATCCAAAAACAAAATTTACACACACGCTCTACACAAGAATTTACATACAAGAAATAAATATTTGAAGGAAAGTTGTATATATACAACATATGTCAAGTATATATATTATTTAAGTTTATTCAGCCAGATCGACAGATTTTGAGCTTTTTTTTGTTGGCAACTCTCTAGCTATTTCCGTTTGAGCTTAATTGCACAATCTCAAGTTTGTTGCCTAAGTCATTTGTTTTTTCGCAAGTTCGTTGCCTAAGTCTTTCTGCTTGACATTGATTGCTTTTTGGCGCGTGTTTCCATTTATTTTTCTCTGCCAGGTGGGTCACATTAAGACGGCCAGCAATGAGTATTACATAGAGCCCTCCAAGCAGCATGCGGCGCATCCAATCAACGGCCATCCGCACGTGGTCTTCCAGCGCTCCTCGGTGAAGCCCAAGCAGAAGGTATGCCAAACCAGTGGTTGTGCGCAAGAGCTGCCAGATACTAATTAGCGTCCATTTGTGCTCTTTTGCTGTTCGTATTTGGCAGGCGGATCCGCACTGGCGTCACAAGCACAAGCGCAAGCGCAAGGAGCAGCGCCACAAGGGTCAGCAGCGCGGCAACCAGAGCCAGAGCCAGAGCCACAGCCAGAGGCAGAGCTCGAGTCCGGTTAGCAATTGTGGCACACGGGAGCCGCGACGCCGCATGGAGACGCGTCTGGAGTGGCAGGCGCGTGGCAAGTTCAAAATACAAGGCGGACGCAAGGTGCGACGCCATCATCATCATCAGCTCCAGCAGCAGCAGCATCATTTCCATCATCATCATAATCATCGTCTGCAGCCTCATCGGCGCTTGCAAAAGCATCCGCACACGAAATTCAAATACGATACACAGCCGTTGGGGCCGCATATGGAGCGCAGCCGTCGCTCGATCAGCAGTCCACGGCACGTGGAGACACTCATTGTGGCGGATGCGACCATGTCCGCGTTTCACAAGGACGTCGTCAGCTATCTGCTGACCATTATGAATATGGTGTCCGCACTGTACAAGGATCCCAGCATTGGCAATGCCATCGAGATAGTTGTGGTGCGCATCATTCAGCTGCAGGAGAACGATACGGAACCGGAGCTGAATCTCACGCAGAATGCCCAAAAGAATCTGGATCGCTTTTGCAGCTGGCAGCACAAGCTGAACACGCTCAACGAGAAGGATCCGCATCATCATGATGTCGCCATATTGATAACACGCAAAAATATTTGCGGCAACAATTGCATGTGAGTATTCGCCCCTCCTACCCCCACCCCAACCCCAACCCCCGCTAATGTATGCCTGTTGCAGGACTTTGGGACTGGCCAATGTGGGCGGCATGTGCAAGCCGAAGCAATCGTGCAGCGTCAACGAGGACAACGGCATCATGCTCTCCCACACGATCACGCACGAACTGGGCCACAAGTGAGTCGAACAACTTCCGTATCAGTTACTACTATGATGCCCCCGCTGCCCCGGCGCCACATTTGCATAGACACTGTCCATGCGCATGTTGGCCAACATGGAAATGCACTTCCAGTCCAGCTCGAGTCGCTTGGCCGCCGGCAACGGCCAACGCATGGCAAATGCATCAATTGATCGGCCAGCCGAAAGAGATTTATGTGCAGCCCAATTCGTTTAATGAATGAATCGAAGCAGCAAGCAGCCAGCCAGCCAGCCAGTCGGGCGTGCCCGACTATTGAATACCCCGCGGCAAGCTGCCTTGCCTTGCATGTAATATGCATTTCTAACTAACTTCGGTGCTTATTGTCCGATCTTTCAAGTCAAGCTCGCAAATGCTGAGTTAAGTGCAAATATCTTGGAAAACAGAATACTTTGCCATACAAGAACTTTCTTTCGACCGATTGTTCCTATGGCAGCTATATGATTTATAAGTCTGATGTTAAAAAGATTTTGGATATATTTAAGAAGCATAGTAAAACTTATAAATGACGTGTTTGGTCAACATATCTTGAAAAACAAAAAAGTTTTCCATATAATAACCCACTTTTCATCCGATTGTTCCTATGGCAGCTATAGGATATAGTGGTCCGATCCGGCCGATTCCGACATATGTCTTGCCTGCAACAGAAAGACGGACCTATGCAAAGTTTCAAGACGATAGACAGACGGATAGACAGACTTGGCTTTATCAACTCGGCTCTCAAAATCGATATTTATCGATATTACGATAATGGGAAAAGTTAGCAAAAAAAATATGATTAACTCAATTTATTTTACATTCGTATGATACACGGGAATGTATATACCTTGAATTTTCCGTTCTTGCTTATGTATTATAGTTTCCCATATGCCTGTCACATACATTGTCACCGAATCGTGATACCCTTTCAATTCAATTTCAATGGGTCCAGCAACAACAAATCGCATGAATGGCTGCTCTAAGTGGACGCGACGGATGCTTTGACACCTGCGTGTGTTGTGACAATGATCGCCTGCGTTGCACGCCCACAGTCGATAGTTGTTCACACACACACACACACACACACACACAGATACACGCCCCTCCCCTCCCCTCTTCTTCTCGACTGTCAACCTCCCTTTCAGCCCCTTCCGCAGTTGCCGCCCTCCTTGCGCTATTCAAACTCAATTAGTCGCAGAACCAGCGAGAAACACACAGACACACACACGCGTACTCAGAGCTAGAGATGGACAACTGATCGACTCATAAATCTCTTGTTATTTCTGGTGTATACTCTATATAAATTATAGACCATGTTAAATGCGAAGGAAGTGGAATAAATATTTATTTTAAGCTCGCCTTGACCACAAAACGCGAGTCTGAGCTTCCGAAAAACTAGAAGACGTGGTTTTGCAAAATTCCACCCGCAACTGTGGAAAATTGGCGAAAAAATGGCCGTAAACAACTTTTTTTTTACCATTCGTTCGGCCTCAACGACCCTTTTAAAGTTGTTTGTAAAAATCCATTCGAGACGAGTTTCACGCATTTCGCAGAATCCACCCGTGGGGGTGAGAACTGCCGATCAACGGTTTCATTTTTGTTCTCAGGAACATTTTCAAATCTCTATGAATATATGTTAGTGTTAAAGTACTGAAAATATTGTTAGCTTTCTAATAAATATAATTCGCTTCAGGCTCAGGTTAGATGAGGAACGAAGAGCATTACGAACCGATTTTTATATGTGATTATTATATAAGCATTTTAATAACCAAAAGCTTTGAAAGCTCGTATAAGCTTAAAGCGCCTTTAGTGCATTAAAGCATTTACTGAAAGCTTCAGCCGTGGGTTTACCTGACCGAGATGAATCAAAAGCTTAAGCTTAAGCTTTTAATTGAATTTGTATAACATAGTTGAGCTGTCAAGCGAAAAGCCTTTTAATTTGTCTGGCCAAGATTAATCCAAAGCTTTACCTCAAGCAGTTAGTTCGCTTTATGTTTATGTCATCTTTCAACATTTAGTCACTGATTTTTTTTGGTCCATCTCTAATGGGAGTGCGGCACGTAGCAATTTGGTAGCACAGCCGGTGGCTGTCGCAGTTGTCCGGTTTCGTAGGCTTATCTCGTTTGGTGTTCGTGCCAAGTGGATTTTTGTAAAACGCCTTATAAGCGCAGGCAAGTGCCCGTCAGTCTGGCGTGTTCCGATTGACTCAACCGGCCAGCGGATCAGCCAGCAGTAGCAGCAGGCGCTGCAGTGGCTGCAGCGGCCACAATCGTCATTATACCCTGTAATCAGGCAAAGTGTTGAGAAGGCGCTGTGATAAGTTTTCGTTTCAATAGGGCATATAACTATTCCTGATCTAGATTAACATGCAATGCATTTAAGATATATCTCTAAGGTCTCTCATTTAGTTAGTAAACATATTTCTATAAATTAAAGATCCCTTTTTTGAAGCCACAGTCCCGACTTTTGGTACACGTATGTTTGGGCTGATTTCTGATATATTTTCCAAACTTTAGACTTTATAGAAACAAGAAACTCTTCAGACGCTAGATGGTGAGAGCTTGGGCTGATAAAGCAGCAAGGTTTTGTTATTATTTTATAGACAAAGTTTTGATTTCCTTCAATCGATTATAGTTTTATCGATAAGCAAAATAAGACACAAGCTTTTTCGATAGTAAATCGTTTAAGCTTATCGATAACCTTTAATTATTAAATCGTTTAAGCTTATCGATAACCTTTAGTTATTATATCGCTTGAGATTATCGATAATCTATAGATATTAAATCGTTGCTACTTATCGATAATCTAGTTATCGAATCGATTATGCTTATCGATAGCTCTTAGATACTAAACCGGTAATGTTTATCGATAATTGTTGATTATACGTGATATATATGTATGATAGATATTAAAGCATTTGTGCTTATCGATAAGCAGGGTATCTGTAAGTCGATCACAGCCCAGGTCGATAAATTGTGACTTGTTTGTTGTTGTGCAATTTACGTTTGATTGTCGCTGGGTCGCCCGGTCATCGTCAGGTGGCAGCCGCTGGCTAACGATATGCTTATTTTCCATCTCTCTGTGTGTGTGTGTGTGTGCGTGTGTGTGAATTTGTTTTTGTTTTTATTGTGTGCTGTGCTGATTTAAGCACTATTCTAATAATCAGGTTTTTGACTTGCCCGCAGTCTAGTCACAGAGCGTGGCATAAATTGCTTGTCGCGTTTTGTTGTTGATCTTTTCTGTTTGTTTTTTTTGTCGTTTCTCAAAGACAATGCGAATAATAAATCTCAACAGATTAACTATAGTAGAGCGGAGCAATCACGAGAGGGCGATGGAGGAGAAGGAGAAGGGGGGGGGGGGTGTTGGTTAGGTAGGTAGATGCCGCTGAGTCGTTCAATTGCAACAATGTTGATCGAGTTTAACCCCTGTGTGAGTCGAGCGAATCGCTACTAACGCTTACGTAAGCTTCAGTTGCATTACGTAATTACATTACGTTTTTTGAGTAATATGTCGTATCAAATGTCTTGTATATCGTTTTTATGAAGAACTTTTAGGTAATTCCGTGTTTGCAGAAAACTTAAGGGTTTGCTTAGTCCTTTACGTTTGTACTGCGTAGAATGAGTTGCTTACGTCATTACGTTACGTTTTTGGGGTTTCAGTTCTTTTGAAGTGCTAGCAGACACGGGCATATAAAACTATTGTGCTGTGTCAGAAACGGGTTATCGATAACAAAAACTGATTTGATCGAATCGATAGCAATTAACTTGACCTAAGGCCGATAAAACCTCAAGAATCTAAATTTAAATAATGGGTTCTCGATAAAGAAATTGATTTACAGTCGACTTACGATATATATAAAACAATAAAATTGATTTGAGTAAATCGATAACCATTTCAGGCCGACAAAACGTTTAATGGGCTATCGATAAAGAAAATTGATCTACAATCCATTATTATTATCGTTTTCGATAACAAATGTTGATTTGATCAAATCGATAGCGATTAACTTAACTACCGGCCGAAAAAAACGTAAAGCATGTAAAACTAAAGGAATGAGTTAACGATAAAGAAAATTGATTAAAATCCAACTATCAATATAAGGGAGAAGAAAACGTAATGGAACTTATCGATAAGAAATTGATTACGAATTTATACTCTTATTTTAATAATAATTTTAATCTCAAAAATGTACAGGCTTCAGAATCGATTAATAATCGAATCGATTTACACAAAAACTTGAGATAACTTTTAGCTATCACAAATATTTTCTTTTATATAAAAAAAATAAGCAATATCGATTATTCGATCGATTAAAAATCGACTTAACTTACCAGCCAAATGTCGAGTTTTAACCTGTCCCAAATGTTAACTGTTATATATTTTATTTGCACAGCTTTGGAATGTTCCACGACACGGCCAAGATTGGCTGCCATCCGCGAGTGGGCTCCATTGTGCACATCATGACGCCAACATTTGGGGCGGATACGCTGCAGGTTTGCTGGTCAAACTGCAGCCGGAAATACATAACCCACTTCCTGGAGTAAGTAGCGGCTAGAACTGGCCACGATTCAGTGATAATAATCGATTGATCGCTGCAGCCAGGGACTGGGCGAATGCCTGAACGATTCACCAACCCCGCCGGACGAGTACAACTATCCGGAGGTGCTGCCGGGCGAGCGGTACAATGCCAAGCGACAGTGCCGCATGCAGTTCAATCTGACCACGGACAGCGATGTGGGCGCCTGCTCCGCACCGCACGAGTTCTGCTCGACGCTCTGGTGTCGCGTGAACGGCGAGTGCGTAACCAATATGCGCCCGACGGCGCCGGGCACCGCCTGCGGCAAGAACAAATGGTGCCAGAATGGCAAATGCGTGCGCATGGAGGAGCTGACGCCCATACATGGCGGCTGGGGCAACTGGAGCGACTGGAGCGAATGCTCGCGCAGCTGCGGCGGCGGCGTTTCCATACAGCAGCGCGAATGCGACTCACCGGTGCCGGCCAATGGCGGCGTCTTCTGCATCGGTGAGCGCAAGCGCTACAAGATCTGCCGCAAGAAGCCCTGTCCGGATCACGAGCCCAGCTTCCGGGCGCAGCAGTGTGCACGCTACGACAATGTCAGCTACCAGGGCGCCACCTACAAGTGGTTGCCCTTCTTCGACAAGAGTAAGTCCGCAGCTAGCCTGGTAAAAAAAAAATCTATATACAATATATGGCAAACAACGCATGCATAATGTCACCTACGAGCGTGGAAACTGGGTGGAAAATAAGTTCATTAATGAATATAGCTCTAGGTTCAATGATCGAAATTTAAATCAGTTTTATATCAGAAATCAGTTTTAAGACTAAACGCCTCATAAAAATCATTTTCTTTACATATTAATCTATACGTAGTATTTCCACAAGTTGTGCAAAATTCACCTTTACGGGTGGAAAAATGTTTTAGGGCAAAAAAAAAAATATTTCTTCAAACTTATTTGAGTTGAATATGCATTTTACTTTGATTTGAATTTCAAATAATTTACATCACTTTCAAAGATCGCTCCATTAATTCACTTTATACGTATTTCACCTAATTTTACAAAATCCACCTACCTGAGCGGAATGCGGCGGTTAAAGATTTAATTAACAAAAAATAAATTCTGATTCCAAGCCATACCTGAATTTCACTGCTTAGCAATAGCTGATTCCAATACCCCTATGCAAAATCCACTTCCAGAAGCGGGAAATGGGTGAAAAACAAAGATTAATTCAATTTATATACCATAAACGAGTCTACACGTTATACTTTTAGATAATCCGTGTCGCCTGTTCTGCAGTGATGTGGACGACACGATAATCGCCAACTGGGGCGAAACGGTGCTCGACGGGACGCCCTGCACGCTGGGCACGAACAACATGTGCATCGATGGCATCTGCAAGGTAAGTTCGGGCAAGCCGTCTATAGACCACAGCTGGTCGGCGAGATCAATTAAACGAGCGTTTCATTCAGAAAGTTGGTTGCGATTGGATCGTTGACTCGGACATGCAGGACGATCGTTGCGGTGTCTGCGGCGGTGCTGGTGATCAATGCAAGCCCATAAAGGAGATCTACAGTGAGCCCTTCAATGTGAGCGACGGCGTTTATGTACAGATCGTTAATATACCGGCACGAGCGCGTCGCATACTGATCAAGGAGCTGGCCAATTCGGCGCACTTTCTTGCCATCGGACGGGCGCAGGGCGAGAAGTTTTATTTGAATGGCGACAGTCTGATCTCCATGCCCGGCGAATTCGAGATCGCCGGCGCCGAGAGCCTATACGATCGGCTGGACGAGCAGGAGACCATCAAAATACCTCAGCCCATACAGCATGCCATAGCGCTCTATGTAAGTACCAGGAGCTGATCCTCTCTCTTTCTCTCTGTCTATGTATATTATTCCGACTATCTGCAGGCGATCGTGCGCAGCAATGAGAGCAACACGGGCATCTACTTTGAGTTCACGCTGCCCGCCTTCAATGTGACCAGCGGACGGCAGCATCAGTGGCGATTGAGCAACTGGACCGCCTGCTCCGCCAGCTGCGGCGGCGGTGTGCAGCATCGGGAGCCCATCTGCCAGGAGAATGGCAAGCGTGAGTCCATCTTAAATGTTCCTTTATATATATACTTATGTATATATCCAATACATGTGCCCCGTCAATTGCCACAGTGCTCGGCGATACGCTGCCCTGCTGGACGCACGCCAAGAACAGGCGACCCTTGAGGCAGACACGTGCCTGCGGCGAGCAGCAGTGCCCGGCGCACTGGTGGCCGGGTCCCTGGCAATTCTGTCCGCTCACCTGCCGCCAGCCGGGCGCGCCCCTGCCGCAGCGGCGTCGCTCCATTGTCTGCCTCGATCAGCACGATGTTGTCGTCGCGGATGCCCAGTGCGCATTGCTGACCAGGCCGCCCGAAACGGAGCCCTGCGAGTCAACGCTGCCCGAGTGTCGGCTCAAGCAGTGAGCGAGCTTAAGGAACCGGAACCGGAACCGGGACTGGAACTGGAACCGGTGGCGGCAACTATTTATTGCTAATAATTAAAGAGGAAGCTAATTTAAGTGAGCTGCTTTTCAAAACCCAGACAGTTTTACATATTTATTTAACAAGTTCGAATTATACGTGTAGTTATTGATAAGCCATGTTATCGATTAATAACTATCGATTAATAATTTGCGTGTGCCCTGCAGTTGCAGTACACAAATTGCAGTGGCGCCACCTGGCGCATATGCTGCGCAAGATATCGTTCTAAGGCAATTAGAGATGTGCAAATATAAATATATTTTCGATAAATCGATTTCGTTTCAGTATTTCATATTGCGATATTTTTCCTACAATTTGCGAAGCTAACCTCAATCATTCTTTCGATTCTTCAAAAGGGAACCCAGTAACAGAGAAATATAACTAAAAATTGTCGTTTATTCGTGTATAAATCTTGTGATTTATAGAAAATATCGGAGTGTATGGAAAGCCTATTTTAAAAAATAAAGGAAGATGTTTTTTTCCGCTCGCCCACCTCTAATTGCACTTAAATTTAACTTTCGAATATCCCAAAATACATTATTCAATTCAAATATTTAACGTTTAATACATTTTCAAAGCTAAGCTAACTTTGGGAATATCGTGTCGCATATCGTGTTTAAAACGACGATAAACTGTGTTTATGTTAAGTTTAAATAACTAATTCGATGCTAATGCATGCAGGGCATAACATAATGTAATTAATACAAATCGAAAACAAAAAAAAATATTTAAAAAAAAAAAGGATTCTAGAAACTAGGCCCAAAATTTGGGCAATATTTGTTTATATGATGTATTTAGTATTATCTATGAGCGTATATATATGTATATATATATATATATATTATATATTGAGATAAGAACAAAAAAAAAAATACAATAATAATACGCAATTAAAATATAATATAACAAGAGATGAGTGTGAACTAGAACTGGAACTGGAACTGGAACTGGAACTGTGGACGCCTAAAAGCGCGTATTGTCGGGCATTTTGCGAAAATAGGCAATCTTGTCCTTGGGCACACGATAGCCGTGCATCCAGCGGCTGCCCTTGCGCAGGGAGCCATCGATGCCATCCTTCCAGACGCCCTGCGGCAAATAAACTGAAAGCGAGAATGCGAGAGAAATCAATTGGAATACTATTGTGGCTTATTGGAAGCTGGAAGTTACCCTCACGCTCCTCGAGACCGGCATCCAAAATGGGCGCCACGATTAGCTCCTCGCCGACGGAGAACTCATCGCTGACAATGAGACAGGCGGGATCATGGGGATCGAGCATCCAGAGTGGACGGACCAGCGGCAGGCCCTCGTTCATCGATGGGCTGAGATATTTCTTGAGCAGCGCTATGACCACCGTCTGGCGCACCTCCTTCAGCTCCTGGGCGACGCGTGTGACCAGCTCGCTGTGGTACTCATCCGGCAGATGGCTGAACTGCATCGCTGGCAAGAATGTGGCCAACTGCAGCCAGCGTATGAAGAGCTCGGCATCTGGCAGCGGCGGCTGTGCCAGCGAATAGAACGATACCATTTTGGTGAGCGGACGCTGCAGCAGATAATCGCCGCCAATGGCGCCGGCCAGCACAAATGGATAGCCGATGACGCCATAATTGAGCACCGCGGCGAGTGTATCCCGCAGACCCTCCCACGTGGCATTCGCCGGCGGCGTGCTCACAAATGTTGGCGGCTTTGGCACCACACTGGCCGTGGAGACGGCCATCAGGCCGGCGCTCTCCAGGCTGCTGGTCAGCATCCGTGCATACATGTCCGGATTGTCCAATGGCTGTCGGCATTGATAGTAATGCGGCAGATTGTAGCCGGTGCCCAAGTCCAAATAGAAACTCTTTACGCCATACTCATCCTTGAGCCGTTGCAGCTTCTCAAGCAGCCAGGGCACCGATGCATTGTTTGTAATGTCCAGGACGCCGGCACTGGAGCTGCTCTTGTAGCGCGTCAGGGCCGGGATGCTGCGCTCCGAGTAGCGCTCATAGATGAGCAGCTTCCGGGCGACCGCATCCTTAAAGTTCGGACTGTCCGTGCTGATGAACGGCTGTATGGTGAAGACGACCTTAAAGCCGCGCCGATGCAGCACATCGATGGTGTCCTTGAGCGTGGGAAAGCGCACGCGATCCACTGTAAAATCGCCAATATTCTCCTGCCAGAACTCATTGATCACAATGTGACCCAGGCCCATGGCAATGGCATTCTCCGAATAGTCACAGATAATTGACTCGTTCAGATTGTCGCGCTGCGCCTGATTGGGTATACGCCAGACTGGCTCCTCCAGCAGCGAATGCAGCTCCGCAATATCCTGCTCGGTCAGGCCGTCCCAGAGGCTCTGCTGTGTCATCAGCATATGCAGGCTGCGCATATCCTCTGTCGTGCAGATCTTATAGTCCAGCTGGGGCAGCGGCGTCAGCCGATTGACGAACGTGAAATCATCGTTGGCCGCCCGCAGACAGAACTGGTTCTCCGTCCGATTGATGCCCAGCTGGAGCGGGGTGCGTTCGCTCACCTGCATCGCGACGCCGATCGAGTTGATGAAGTAGCGCTTGACCGCGTTGCCGAACTGATGCACCTTGTGATCGCCGCTGGCGTAGGGCATAAAGTCGAAGTTCGCATAGCTAAGGGACCACTCCTGGCCCTTGGTGATGCCGCCGCCAAACCACAAGCCATTGTCCCGCTTTAGCTCATAGCAGTCGGTCGGCAACAGGCCCGGCCTCAGGGCCTGCCATTGCAGCGTGTAGCAGCGAAAGACCTGCTTGTCCTCGAAGTTCAAGTGGAGACGGGCAATGCCGTTCCATTCGATGCAGACGCTGCCGTCGCTGCGCCGATGATTCTCCAGGCAGTGGAACGGCGCCGTGTCGCTGTCCAGGGTCACGCCCAGGTGCCCAGATATCACCTCCTTGTCCTCGTGGCTCAGTATGCGAAAGATGCGATCCTTCGAATTGAACTTGATCTTCTGGAAATAGCTTCTGGTCAGCACCTGATGATGGTACGCAATGTACGCATAGCCAATCTGTACGGACGACATTTCATGAGCTCGAAGTTCCGGCTTTTGATTATATCATTTCCACTTACCAGAAAGATGATGATAAAGAACATGATGATCACAAAGATCTTGATCTTGTAGTCCTTCGTCTCGCGCTTCTTTTTCCGTATCAGCTGTGGAAAGGCCTGTCAGCAAATGATCATTAACTAACGCACTTTTAGCTGCATTCCACTTGTCATTCCGAAATGTTGCTCAACATTTTATTAATATTAATCATTTATCATAAATGTTGGCACATTCGGAATGCAGACAATGAAACGCAACTATGTACATATTTATGCGCATTATTCTCTGTTTTACTTAACTTCTTTCTACTTATCCTCTTCTCTCTTCTCTATTTTCTCTGACATCTTCATTCGTCTCAATCATTTCTATTTTTCTTCTAAATTTCTTCAATTTCTCTTGTCATTTCCTTTCTTTTAAGAGTATCTTTCCTTTTGTTGTCATCTTCCTTTGCTTTCTTTTGCTATTTGGTTGGGCTATGCTATTATTTATCTTTCTTTTTCATCTTTCTTTTCTACAATTTCCATTCTTCTGTTCTTTTAATCTGTAGTCTTTCTTCTTCTTTCCTCAGCTTTTTTGAACTCTTTGCTTGTCTTCTCATTCACCTCTCTCTTCTATCTCTGATTTGATATCTCTCTCATCGCATCTCTCTTGTCTCTCATCTCTTCTCTCTTTCATCTCTTCTCTCTCTTCTCTCATCTCATCTCTATCTCTCATCTCTTCTCCCTTATCTCTTCTCTCTCTCCCTCTTTCTCACACTATCTCTTTCAATCTCTCCTCCCCCCTCTCTCTTTCTCTAACTCTCTCTCTCTCTCTCTCTCTCCCTCTCTCTTTGTCTCACCTGCATCTTCTCGCGCAGCAAACTGGCCAACGAGTTGACGCTCGTGATCGAGGCCTGGTTGCTGGCCAAGCTGTGGGTGTCAAAATCGCTGGCCAACATCTCCTTGCTGTTCAGTCGGAGGGCGGGCAGCGGGGCAATCGAGGCGCGTCGGCGGCTACGGAAGCGATCCCTGTCAAAAGTTACAAACAAAGTGAACCGTTAGAGCAATATTAGCCGATAGTCATAAATATCGATAAAGTCATATTTATCGATAACCTCATATATATATATATATATATCGATAGCTGCGTGAGTGCTCAATGTTTATGATCGCGATAACCGTTGTGTGCTCAACCAATCGATCTTCAGCTGTCAAATGTGTGTTCGTGCTGTCTGGCTGTAAATTACGCAGATACAGATACAGATACAGATAAAGACACAGATACGAAAAGACAACAAGCTGGGATACTTTTCAACAAATATTTATGACAATTTTGACAAGCTTTTGTCTCCGTTCCTATCTGAGATGTCTTAATTTAGTGCATAGTAAATAAATTGATATATTGGCAGCTAAACGGCATTAGAAATATTACTGTCGAGAACGAGTTAGTTTCGAACAACTTTAGGTGTTGGCTGATATTTATATATACATACGTATATTTGCGTTCTTATATATTAATTTATTTATTTATTGAGGGCATAAATAACTTGTTTGCCTCTGTTTAATTTAGTTTTTATATTTACTTATCCATATTCTACAAGTGCGTCTCAATTTACAAGCTATATACATATATCTGAGATTCTGCGTCTCTTAAGCCATGGATTCATCTGGTTGTAATAAACTATGAGTTTGGCTGGTCGACTGGAAGATACCCTTTCATTTATAAACAAAAGTGCAGATACACTGCATTAGTATATGCAACGGCTGTGCTGCCCTAGTTCCACACTTTTTTTGGGATATCGACTCTTACTTAACTAAGAACCCTGTAGATCGATATTCATAAAATTTTCAGGGCGTAAATATGGAATACAAAAGTATGTACATGCCAAAGCGCAACGCTCTGCCTTTAAAAATGGGTTCCTTTTCCCAATTTATTGGGGGTCTTGGGAAAAGTATCCAAAAATTGAAATGCCCTCAATCTGTAGATATTTCACAAGAGCCTACATACCAATTTTGATGCATCTAACTCATATAGTTTTCGAGCTATGCTTGAAAAGCCAAACTTCACAATCGATATTTATCGATATTACGAACTTAAGAGGAGCTATCGATAAAAACGATAAGTTTCCGCGATCGTTGCGTTTACACCGACAGGCAAACCAAGCAGCTCGTCGTTCTAATCAAATACTTCCTTTTTTTGTCAATGGGTTCAGGTTATAAAAAAACGTTGTATACCAGGAATTGGTTGCGACGCCTTGCGATTAAGAATATGATTAGCGATGGTTGGGAATATATTTTTATCGCTTATCTGGCACGCGTACAAAAAGCCCGAAGAACTCTTACCCAGTATATGGGACGGGCGTACGAGAGTTGCAAGATTTGTGACAATTGACTGACCCATTTTATGAGTTGTTGTAAATGCTGCTAGTGGCCTATCTAGAGCCAAGACAGTAGCGTGAATCGGGATCGAGCCCTGATATAAAATATGACTCGTTCTATTCAAGTATGTAAGTATATATTAATATGTTATAAAATACATACATATATTTATTTATACAATTTGTATAGGCGCCGCTTTCGGTGCGATAAGGCCGCCTCTGGGGGCCATTAATGAACTTTGTTTCAGCACAAAATCAGCACGAATTACAGCTAAAAGATGTAGATACCTGAGCGCACACATAGATACGTAGATACATGGCATTTATATGCATAAATATGCATTTTATATGCAATATTTTACCTGTATCTGTATCTAAAATGACAATGTGCCTGGCTTTGGGGCGGCGAGTTATGCGCGTTCGTCTTATCACCTCTAATCACAATTATCTACTGAGCTTTCGAGACTTAAAGATACAGATACAGATACAGACACAGAGACAGTTATAGCAACAGCTACAGCCTGAGCAGCCGATACAACAGATGCTACTGATACATACATACATATAAACACAATGAGTTGATATGTTAATACATATATACACTCAGTCACTGTGGCAATCAACAGACTTTTCACAAACAACAACATCAACAAAAAGTCGTCATGATTTCTGCTGCCTGTGCATCTGCCTTTTGATTTACTTATCAACAACGAGCGAGATTTTGCCCTCACCCTCCACCCGTCACTCGCCGACATCGCCGTCGCCTCTGCAATTACATTAATTCGCTTAAACTGCAAAATTACTCTCTCTCTCACACACACACACCTACGCTTTTCTCCGAAAAAGCTTGAGCTCTGTCGCCAGCCTCCGCGCAGGGGTTGAAAGCGCAAGCGCAGCGTTTGCTCTGTTAACGGCGCAGTGTGTTAACAGAGCTGTTAACTGATTTCGCTTAACATATTATGTTAAACCTTTTTAATGCTCTGCTACGCGAATATATTTGCACATGTTTTCGCCGCTTTTGAAGCTGGAGACTTGAAATTTGAAATATACGCTGAGTGTGTATTCGTGGCAGACAAGGCGTTGCAATGCTGACGGCTAGACTTCTAGGTTAGCTTTAAAAAAATAAAACAATTAAAGCTTAAAAAACTTAAAAAAAAAACATCTGTAGACAGCATAGCAAAAATAGCTGAAAGAAATTGAAAGCTTTTAAAAGTGTATAAGAAACTGAGAGCCTCATAAACTTAGCTAACAATGGGTCTATTCATTTGGAACGCAAGACCAAAAATGGCGGCCAATCGTTGTGATCGATAAACATGAAATAAATTAATCGATCGGCGATTGAGTATGGAATGCGCCGCCGAGTCTGTGTAATTCCCAGCTGTACTTATTAAAAATATTATTATTATTTTTTTATGATTATTATTATCATTATCTTCACTTGTTATTATTATTATCATTATTAATATTATTTTCATTATTATAATGATAGTATATATTATTCAAAAGGTGAAGAAAGATCACAGATTTAAAAAAAAAAAACTTAAAATAAACAGACAGTCTGTGTTAGCAGTCTTCTGACACTATTTACCCAACTTAATCTTTTGTTGCACATTGCGATTTTCGACTAGAGTACAGGGTATCTAATCATTAAGCACTTAAAGGCTGCGTTGTCACCTGTTTCACATTTAATTGCAGCTTTTCTCAGCCATAAATAACTGGCTCGACGCATTAATTTGGCTCAAAAAAGAAAAAATACAAACACCAAAAACTACCAAAGCTAATTGCACGTTTATAAACAGCAATTTTCGATAATTGACAAAACAAAGTTGAAGCCGAACGAGCCAAAGTTGGTTCCTAACTGTAACTAAAGATCCGTGCAATTTAATTTTTAACCGTGAAGCGATCAACTGAAGCTGAAATGTGGAAACGCTTCAAAGCTGGAATGTTGGGAATGGCACGTTCCCAATTACCCGTTCCCCGTTTCCCGGTTCCCGTCCCGATGCCCTTGCCCACAATTAAATGTGATTGGCAAATGGCGTGTTGTTAATGTTGTTAAACAAAAAAAGTCAAATCCAAATTAATTAATTTAATTGCAGCCTGAACTTTGGCATGAGACAAGCAATGAGTACGTGATGCCATATTCAGCAATTCAGTGCTGCCAGATAGTTACACTTTGAAATGGGGAACATTTCAATTACAGGGTATGCCAAGTGTGGAAGTTGTTCAGCGACTGCTTTTACAGAGCATTATTAACTGTAAGATACCCTGCACGAAGTCGTAAGGTATCTTAATCTATCTATAACATGCAAAAACCAAATTCTATTTACGTTTAACTCAACTGATGGAGGTTGAAATACCCTGTACGGACTACTTCAATATTGAAATCGTTTGATTGAATTTCGTGGATTACTCTGGAGAAGGCCGCTGAATGGTTATTATACAATTGCGTATAGACAAATATTTCTTCAAACTTCAACCGAGAGTATTCAACTTAAAAATACCCTGTACAAATTGTATGAGGTGTGTTACATGATATGCCTTAGCTGTTCTTAAGCATATATCTACAGTTAGCACAAAGCTTACGCTTATTTTAGCACTTTGCGCGACTTTACGATACCCTGTACAAATCTTTTACTTTTTAAAGGCTATGATGTACTCTCTTATGTGACCTTAAATTGTCAATTCATCTGATTGTTATGTTAAAGTACAAATCTTTTGCCATTTTATGAAAACTTTTGGATCTTAAATACCCTGTGCTCTTTTGTTAGCTAAGCTATCCATCAAATATACTCTGCAATTGGCTTCACATTTTATTTATTGCATATTTACAGCAACAGTCAACGCGCGTGCCGAGCGTTTTTAACACAATTATACCCTCAATCAAGGCCTTGTCTTGATTTGCGGTAATGCGTTACATATACCCTGTAATTCACTATACAGTATTCAGTATTCACATTGTGTGTGGGAAACAGTATAAAAAACCTCAGCTCGTGCCAATAAACTGTGAAAGTATACAGTTACAGGGTATCTGGCAGTCCAGCATGAGGCAACAACTGATTAATGCGTTCATAACAATGGCCAATTAACACTAGCTTGTGAACTGTTATTGAAAAAACATAAAGCAGGTGACAAAAATGATCAGAGATCGCAGTTAAATAATATGGAAATATATATGGAAATATTTATGGAAATATTTATGGAAAATAGTTTATGCGAATGATATTCGAGAGGGGACTTACCTATGGACGGGTTTCTTGGCATTTCCAAATTCATCGCTGCTGTCATCGTCCTCCTGCTTGGCATTGTCATTCGCTTTGGGAACCACCATGATCGTTGTGGGCGTGCCCATGCTGGAGGCTGAGGCATCGTCGACCATCTGTAAATAAGTCACAAAGTTCGATTTAAGCGAAGATATATATAGTTTTTGTATTTATTTGAAGATGTTTCGTGTGCTTTGTTTTCGTTTTGGTTTTGTTCTCGGCTGGCGGCAGCGGCGCAACGCGGCGTATGCGCAATTTGTAATGCATATTTATAAGACGCAGTCAGTGTGCCCGTTTCCTGACTGCAAACTGGTTTCGGCCAGCCGTAAGCCCCTATGGTTCAGTTCAGTTCGGCTCTGACTGGCATCGGGCCATATTAAGTACCTGCCTTGACCGCAATTAGCCGCTGCGCCTCGTCCTGGCGCGCCTCCTGCTGCACGTTGGCCAGCGCGAAGCGGCCGCTCTGGCTGGGCGAGCTCATCGCCAGTAAGGAGAGCAACAATTCCTGGTCCCGACCAGTCCGATGCCCAACAGATCTGCGAGTCCGGAGCTCGAACCGTCGTCTGCTGCCTTTGCCGGCCGCTTGATAATTGCTCGAATATTAGAAATGACGAGGGCTTTGCTTCCCATCTGCTATCTGTGCGTGTGTGTGTGCGTGCTCGTGTGTATACATATGTGTGTGTGTGTGTGTGTATTGGTATGTGCTTGTTTAATCGCTCGACGTCGCGCTTCATGGCGACTGCGAGCACTCGTTCCTGAGTGATTAATTACGAAGCTTCGGCTTCGCATTTCTCACAATTTCATTGAGACTCTTGCGACGCCGCTCACGGTGCGAGGGCAGTTCCATGAATTACGCACATACGAATTTCCAGATGTAGTTAAGCGAGATTTATAGCAAAATTTAGTTAAATTGCTGTTATCGTTATATCCCAAACAAGCTGACAATAGCTTAGAATGGTCTACATTTACTAAACAGACAGAAGAAAGCAACTCCGACTCCATAAAATTCATTTCCATTTTTCCATTTTTATTTTTAACCGATCGAACAGATGAGTCACAACCACTGTGAACGTCTATGTAAACAAATCTTGGAAACTACAAAAGCAGTAGACAAAAATAAATATTTTAGTGTTTCGGTTTTCGGTTCGTACCAACAGCTCGCCCTAACCGTCGATTCCTATTAACACAAATTAATAGTCAGGCTCGGGCTCGAGCCTTGGTACCTTGCATTGCCAGCTTTCCTTTACAGAACAATAACAATAACCATATTTTAGATACTCCCCGCCCCCAAAAGGCGTTGGCAAACCTAGCTGTTCACACAAAACAAAATTTACTCTTCACTTTGTGAACAGGTACATACGACCTTACAAACATGCATGCATATATACATACATACATACATACATACATACATACATACACACAAATGCGTACCCACACATACATACTAACATAAACACAGAGAAGGAAGTTAATAAATTTGACAACACACTTTTTTTACACAACACTTATAATCAAAGCATGAAAATCTGTTGGACCTACTCGAATTCTTGAGAATCGCATAGTAGGGCGATTTACGTTTGAAGTCATTTTCAGCGCAACGAGTAGAGTTATCAAATGAGTAACGTGCATACACACTTAGGCACAAACATACATACATATACATGAATACATATTGACATACATACATTCATGCATACGTACTTAAATACAAACTGTAATATACATACATGCGTTCACTTATGTGATACCTTCTCCAAACTACAATATATCGCTCAAAATCGATTATGCGTCTTTCTTTGTCGAGAGCGTATACACAGCTAAAGATTATTTTACTTTTTGGCTAAAATTTAAAGAACATGAATTGTGGAGCCTTGAGCTTTGGTATTTACACACATGCTAAATTTATGCCCTAAAATTTTCATAATGCTCGGATTATAAGAAAGGAAGGTGTTAAAGAATATATTGCCCTATAACTTAGGGCTTGGGAAAGACGCACAACCGCTGCGTACATGAATAAATGAAGCACTCTTAACTAGATGTCTTGCAGAATCGATTACTTTATTTCCGTGCTTAGTTTGTGACGCATTCGTAAACGTTTCACTGGCTTTGCCTTGGGCGTCGACAAAACTATTCGAATTAATTTTTGCTAAAGTTAAAATCGATAGGGCCTTCAAGTCTGCCTAAGACAAACAGACAAGCGCTATTCACAACGCTATTAAGGGTCTAGGTTTAGATTCGATTTTTGTGTGTATATCCATATATATCAATACTTCTTTGACCACACTCGCAGCTCTGGTTTTGGTTTTGATATGTGCCGAGAAATTGCCGTGACAGACTCGTAAATTAGTCAAGGCGGCATGCTTCATAATTATGGCCGACTAGATTTAGCATTTAATCTTAACTACTTCCCATAAATTACAGTCTATCGGCTTTGGGTCTCCCCATGGTTGCCCGGCTGTCCCATACACATAAATCATATTGGCCCTCAGCCATGGACACGACTCGCAGACTATACGAAGCTGATCACTGAGCCATCGAGAAAAGTCCTCAGAGGAAAAATTTTGACTTGTGTCTATATAGCGAGTTACCCCGGCCTTCCCCGTGGAACGTTTACAATGAATTCTCTCAAAGATCTTTACAAATGAGTTTTAAACCGGACGGTAAACTAAAAACTTTCATACAATCGTTTCCCGACTCGGCTGTGGCTACTGATCACGAACATATATGTACATATGTAATTTATTGAATTGGAGCCGATTCCTTAGGCTAGTTTATAGGCTTAGTGGATTTATTTATTTCTTTCTTTCTTATTAGCATATTTCAAGAAAATATCGATTTGGAATATTCCGATATATCAAGCCATTTAATTGTTTCTTTGCGCTTCTATACGATAAAAGTAATCGATGTTTATGCGCAACTCCCATCACTATCATCCTAGTAGGCTTTGCTCCCCTCTAATTCCAAAGGTCTAACTGTGCTGTGCAGCTGCTTTTCTTCTCAGTCGGCTTTGACTTCTCGTCCGGAGCGGACCAGATTTGTTTGCCCATTTTATTTTGCGTTTAAATTTTTGTTTGAATTGAAGATTTCAGTCAGTATTATATTGCAGTATTTCTCTCAAAGTACTTCGAAGACCATGTTCGAAAACTCGCAAAAGAAAATAATACTTTTTTTTTATATATTTTCTTTATCAACACTGGGTTGAACAAATCGTGGCTTATTTTTATTCAGCGTTTGAAAATTGGAATCTAAAATGGGTTCGAAATGCTTTAATTCGCTTAAATTTCAACAATATCCATCCGTAGCTATTTGATTTGAAGTCTTCGAAGAAGCCTTCTTCAATGAATTTTAAATGCGCTGCGGTTTGCTGAAAAGCTTTATGAAGACTATATGATATCATTTTAATTTTTTGTTTGCTGAATTTTTCTGCACTCGATAATTATATAATAATCAAGACTCTGTTTAAGGTATTTTGTTAAATTAATTACAATATTTCTTTAAAAGTACTCGACGACCATGAGAGAGAAGTTATGCGATAATAAGCATTCTTCTTTTTTACTTATCGTTTCGCAACATTTTTGTTTTCCCTTGTCTTTTGCAACACTGGTCAACCAGATCAGGACAAGCTTACGTTAAGGGTTTGACAGTTGACAGGCTGCTTTAACGTCTCAGCTAAAGCAGGTAAATCTTCTTTTTATTTCAATTATTTCTTCAAATCATTTTTTAACTGCTCTGCAAATACCTGACCTCAGGTACTCAGCAGCAGTATTTTTCTTTCTGAAAATATATTTTAACTTCAATAATTCTTTAAAGTTTTTGACTCGTAAAAGAATATACAAATATTATTTTTAATATTTACCGTTGTATAATATTTACTTTCCCCTTGCCCTTTTCAACACTGTGTTTACCAAATAGTGTTATGCTTAGGTTAAGGGTTGGATAATTGGAATATAAATGTTTTGATTAGACTTAACTTCAAGCTAACTGCTTTAAAGCCTTAGAGCTGGTATAAAAGTGTTCTCCATGCAGACAATTTATTTGAACAATATTTTACTATTATTTAATTATTCGTCAACAATTCAACTGTCTTTAAACAACATTTTCTTAAAAGGCTTAAAAATTGACATCGAAATGTTTTGATTATCCTAAACTTTTTTTAAGGTCTAAAAATTCAAATGTAAAAAACGTTGATCGTCGTTTATTTCGGTGGCTTCCATGCGCAGTCGAATGTCGATCTGCTTTGTTTTGTTTTATTTTATTTTTAACTATTTCTTTTGCTTTTATTATATTTCTCTCAAAGTGCTCGAAGACAATTTGTAAAAGCTCTTTATAGAGAATATACCATTGTTTTTTTTCTTTTTCATTTTTACTAGATTTGGTTTGGTGTTTAAATAAGATTTTAGATATTTCTTACCCAACTACGACATATTTTTCTCAAAATACTCGATGACAATGTGCTCGTTGGGGAATATACGAATATACGCGAAAGAGAATTTATTATTTTGTAAAATTGTGTACGAATACTTGCAAAGGAATATACTTATGTATTAGATATTTGCCGCATTGCAATACTTTTCATTTTCCCTTTTCTTTTCCAACACTGTGACTTGACTAAGTGCGATAGAATGCGAAGGATATACTGTTATTTTTTTAAAATATATTTATCGTATTGCAATAATTCTCTAGAAGTACTCAATGACAAATTATAAATATGAAAATAGTACGAATCTCGTGTGATTATTTCAAATATTTGCTATATTGCAATATTTCTCACTTTTTCTTTCCTTTTGAAGACTGTTTTGAAAATGTGCGATAGATCGAAAAATAATATATATACATATATGTTTTATTTGTTTAATTATGTAATTCTCTCAAAGTACTCTATGAAAATGTGCAGACTCGAAAGAGAATATATCTTTAAAAGATTCTTTTACAAAATTATTGTTATAAATATTTTCTGTATTTCAATACTTGTCATTTCTTCTTTTTCTTTTTCAACACTGCGTTTACTATGTAGAAAGACTCCTATTGGAATACTTATCTTTCTCACTTCTCTTTTCAATCGGCGATAATGGGATTACTAGAACTAGAGGATAAGTAAAATATATATGTAAATTGGAACAGAACTCAAGTTTTCAGTGAGGTATGTAGATAAAGACTTCAGTTCTACACAAAAGTATTGCAGTTGCTTTAGGCGCGATTCGCAATTCAACAAATATGTTGTTTACTTTAGGGCTGAACCAATATTAAATCGATTAGTTTAAGTGAAAAGAAGGTAACTTTTATTGTTAGTGCAAGTGGGTATCAAAAATTGCCTAAAAAGTTTAGCAGAAAGAGATGCACAAGGAAAAGCAAAAGAAAGAATTTCAAGCGAATAGAGTTCGATATATAGACGATATAATCATGTTAAATCTCAAACGAAAGATCAAAAAAAGGAAAAGAACCAGCTAAGCACATTTCGATATATCCCTTTTCTCGATTTGCCACACCCTCTATTGTGGGCGCAGGCAATATATTTTTTGGTCAGTCCAAAGAAGATGGATCAATAGTCTATGTAGATCCAAATTTGATCATTCTCTTCAACAGCTCTTCAACTGTGGCAGATATTTATATTCCCGATTTGCCGCTTAAATATCCAACAGGGAATACACATGACTTTCTCTGCCAAGTTTAGGATCTTTAACCAACGAGTATAATAAATGTTTTTATTTATTGTAATCTCGAAATGATAAAGGCGGTATTTATTTTTTATGGATACAACGCGCAGTTTCGACCTGGTTTTTGGTCTGTTTGCCGTGTTGCACAGTGTTATTAGCGTAATGCAATATGCGCCAGCCAGTGTATACATATACCCTGCTGCAGACTTGTATAGCGGGTATGCGCGACTGCGGTTCAATTTTGTTCACAATGCTAAAACAGCTTAAAGTATAAAGCTGACAGATTAAAATATATATAGAGAAATCGATCTTTTCGATAGATACATGAATATATATTTAAGTATATGAAGAGAGGGCAAAGTTTTTTAGTTACCCATTTTATTTCATTTTTCTGGCGTCAAATATTAAAGATCAATTCGGAGAGATTTCTTAAAAGTTTCCTTGTCCCTGGTTCGGTCAAGACTTATGAAACTGGCCCAGTTCAAGGTTCGGCTCGTTATAACACAAATAAAGCAATTTAGGGTCTGAACCGGCGTGTTCTAGCTTATACGAATTTGAATGAATAACAGGCAATGTTTATTTACAGAAAATAAATCAACATTTATTGCATATGCTATAAAAAGATAGGCTGAAAATCAAACATGCTCATGTAGGTCATGTATGACATTTCTATTTGTTATATTTATTATAATTTTATTTGCATGCAAATTTAATAGTTGTTGAAGAATATCTAGCAAATATGCAAAATATAAGACCCAATCTTATTATATAGATTCTCAGCTATTTCACTTTATGGATAACTCCACTCTTTATAAGTAGACTCTTGCTATAGACAAACGTTTGGTTGAGATACTTGGGCACTGAAAGTTTCAAACAGATCGGACTATAGACACCGAAGTTAATCAAGACGGCATTTGCCAAAGTCGAGGGGACAAAGGCAAGAAGAAGCACGACAAAAATGAGAAGTATAGACAACTTGACGCTGGGTGCAGGGTATCTGAAATTGAATTTCAGTCTTAATATGAAGCGCTGCCAGACACTGGGTATCTAGCAAGTCGTATACCAGACCAGATGTCCGAACCGCAGAATATTTGCAATTCACATTAATTACATTTGAAGTGTAAACATGAGAAATAAAATGGCAAAGAAAACGGATGAGAGAAGCACAACCGCAATAATCATATTAGAATAGATCGATGATGGCGATAAGAAATGATGACGATGACGATGATGACGATGACGATGAGGAGAATGATAATGATGACAATGATGAGCAGAATGATGACGATGATGATGACACATGATACGAGATGTTTAGGGACTTTTTTGACGGGCGGAGGAAAAAAAAAACCAAAACTTTGACAGCAAACCGATCTCAGCTGAAATATTTGACATCAAGTTTTTTAGTTTATGTTAATAAGCGTGTAATTTGCACACACACACTCGCACACACGCACACACACACACACTGCAGAGATAACAGTTCGCTTAATGAGCTTTTTATTGTTATTTATTTGGTTTTTTTTGCTTGCTGTTTTTGAGTGCAAAACTCGTTTCCAGACTCGAAAATGAGTCTTTAGCTTCACACTCGGCAGCCCCCCGACCAGCCTCTTAAGCAGCCAGCCCCCCCCCCACCCCCCCCCCCTGCCCCTACTCACACTCTCCGTTTGGCTCTCCTCGTGCAGCGCCTCCTGCGCCTGCATCTGATGCCGCAAACGCAATGCCTCTAAATCCAGCGAATTAATGCCTTGCGGCAGAGATATGGAATTGCGACGCAGTCCCGGCCCAAAGTGATCCCGTTCCCGCTCCCGATCCCGCTCCGTTGGCGGCATGGGCGTGCCCGAGTTAAGGGAACATATCTCCGGAGCGGGACGCTCATTGAGCACCAGCAGATGCGGCAGCTCCACATTGCGTCGCTGTCCCAGCGATTGTTTGCGCACGGGCAGCAGCTTTGCCTGCGCCTCATCCTCCTCCGCCTCATCCTGCTCGTCCGCATAGGGCAGCGCCTGAGCCTGCCCGTTGAGCGCCTGCGCGGCACGCAGCGGCGTCTGTGGCATGCTCCTTAACCAGGTTCACACGCGCGATATATACTTATATATATATGTATATATATATATATGCACACGTCGAACACGGGGCTTATGTACGTGTGCACGCGAACGCGTCCAGGTTGCGACTCGCGGCCAAATCGCATGCCAGTCTATCCCCCCCCCCCCCCCCCCTGCCCCACTGCCTTCCTCGCAAGCGTTGAGAGCGCGACGTTGAGCTCAGCAGCTGAGCAGAAGGGAGTTGTCTCTGGGCTAGGGGTGAGGGGTGAGTGGTGAGGGGTGATTGGTGAGGAGGAGGGGGAAGGGGAAGGGGCCATAAAGCCGCCGTCGATTGTGTCGCAGCGTGTGTTTGACTTTAATCAACGCTCGCTGCTGTGCTTATCATCATCATTATCATGAACATTATCATCGCATTCGCTGTGGCGATTATCGGCATTGGCACTGATTACGCATACGACGCGTTGTACGCATCGCTTTTAACTGGGCCGAGCCGTGTTTAATAATCTGTTTATTTGCCATGTTCATATTGATTCACTTAATTAAATTCCTCTATTTCTTTTTTTTTGTTTTTTTTTTTTGTATGGTTTTTTGGCCACTCAAAAAATAAACATGTGCTGATCGCTTTTTCCTTTCAGAATTTGCACAGCTAATTAGTTGACAATATCTCTCGCGCGCTCTCTCTCTCTCTCTCTCTCTTGTATTGTCCGCACACTTTCTCTCTCTCTTTCTCTCAATTTGCGTCTCGGGTCTGGTCTGCTATCAGTGGCTATAAAGCGCTTAATCAACGTCTAGCTAATCGCAACAATTGATCAAATATTGGTAACAAGCGTCAAAAGCGTATGGGTTTTCTTCTCTTTACAATCGATACCCTATACAGGTTACATCTAGGCATACGATATTTTTGCATATATTGCATTTCTAGAAGGGAGGAAGAGAATGCAAGAGAGTCAATTGGAGTTCGAGTGTGAGCAGCGATAAAGTTTGCTAAGTTTCCAACTCAAATTCCTAATAAATATTAACAATCAAAACATGAAAGTATCTAGCTCTTACTTGAATTCATGAGAATCGCATAGAAGAGCCTTTAAAAATACGTTTTTAAGTCATGCTGCGCAGCAGGAACAGACCACGTTCGTTTGTCATACACATATGCATACAAGCACTCACACATACATACATAGAAACTTACATACATACATACATACATACATATGTACATTCATCCATATATACATACATACATGCCTACATACATTCATACATTCATACATACATACATACATATATACATACATACATTCATACATACATTCATACATACATACATACATTCATACATTCATACAGACATACATACATACATACATACATACCCATACTTACATAATTACAGAGAAGTAAGTTTATAAATTTGTCAACACAATTTTTTTACACAACACTTATAATGCAAGCATGAAAATCTGTAGGACCTACTTGAATTCTTGAGAATCGCATAGTACGGCGAGTTACGTTTGATGTAATTTTAAGCGCAGCGGGTAGAGTTCTCAAAGGAATCATATGCATATACATTTGTAGACACATACATACATGCATACATACATACACACATACATACATACAGACATAAATACACACATAGATACACACATACATGCAGACATACATGCAGGCATACATGCATGCATACATTGCTGCGGGGCTGTTATTAAAAAAAATTATAAGCGAACATACCTACATACATAAATAGATATGTGCATACATATATGAATGCAAAAGTAGACTATACTGAATGCTCTTACTTTGAGTATATTAAATAACTACAGCTAAAAAAAGAACAACTTTCTAGTTATTACGGTTGTGCTTTGATTACCAATTAATCAAATACTTAATTAAACTCATATTAAGAAATGTTGATGTTTTCGTTTATTGTTACCAATTATAAACAACAATCAAATAAAAATACCAAAAAAGTTAGCAGGTTGCCAGCATAGCTATTCAAAGAATATGCCGGTTCCATTATAACCAAACTTTGCTAGACTTTGCATACAGCATGTTCCCATTTCAAAGCTTAAACTGGTTGAGAATCACAAGCGTCAAGCCATGAACAAAGCAAAGCAAGCAAAAGCTGGATTTATTTGGTATTTAAACAATCGATTCATGGTTGATAACAAATTGAAAATCCAATTCCAAACTTGTGCGGTTCGGGCTTATATCATTTTGTTTAAATTTAAAGGGTATGCAAAGTGCGACTAATTTCCAAAATACAATCAATTGGACATATGTACATATATTAGGCCACGAACATGTGTTGCCCATAGGCCAACATCATGGCAGCACGAGAGCGGCCCGTACCCCTCTGCACACCCCTTCTGCTCACCCACGACCAGTCAACCAGCCGGCGATAAGTTGATTAGCTGTATAGGCCAATCGAGGGCCACAATAAAACTCATTCGCAATATTATGCCCATAAATTTTGAATCAGCTCTTCACACTGCCAACTGAAATGAATTGGATTGGAAATCGATTCGCATACGAAATGAGGGCCCCGTACGTGGATACGTGATGGGCGCGGGTCAGTATGCAATGCGTTAATACGAACACGAGCAAGTCGTGTCGAGTGAGACGTGAGGCGGCACGAATGTCACGAGAGTAAGCACGACACGCGCTCAGCCAAAGCCACAAAACTGTTGGTAAATTGTGATGCAATGCTTTCTCTTTCACTGGCTCTCGCTGTCTCTCTCTCTCTCTGCCTCCCTCTCTATCTACTCTCACTCTCTCTCTTTCTTTTTTGTGGGGGTCAACCACAAGTCGTGCACGAAATTTCCAATTGCACGCAGCTGTTGGCGATTGTTTACGACTGTTTAATTTGGCCCAGTTAATTGATTTATGCATGTGTTAACGTTAAAACAAATGCCAAAATATGCATACCCTAGAAATCTTTGCTTATTCCATTAAACAACTTAAGATCTCAACTAACAAAGAAAACAGGCAGAAGAAAGTTTACGAATGGAAGAACAAAAATAACAGCAAGAGCGTTCTAGTCGCAAACATTCTAGTAGAATGTTTACGAATGGAAGAACATAAAGAATACAAAAATAATATTAAGATTTATCTGCTATATATATAAATGGTAACTTGAATAACTCGGGTGCTTACAGTTCAAACGTTATGAATTTTTCAGGGATCGAATATGATTGCCATTTATATGCATATACCAAAGGACAAGACTTTACCTATAAAAGTGAGTTCCTTTTAATTTCAAGGAGCATAGGTTGAGGTATTCAGAAAGTAAAATACTTTCAATCTATGCTTTCTATACGATAGCCAGCATAAGAATTTGGCTTTATTTCGCTTTTTTTCGAGTTGTGTTGAAAAGAAAACAAATATCAAAATCATTTTCTTATCGATTCTATGAATCGACAGGCAGATGAACTTTTTACCTACTTTCAATGGGTATTAAAATGCACATGTTGACAGCGAAAACGGTTACGAATGAGCGACAAAGAGGAATGGTAGAAATGCGCAAGCTGCACAAGATAACCCAAAATGAAACAGTTGATAATCTCTTTTTTTTGAAAAGGGGAAAAATGCAATTTTTATTTTTAATAAATTGGTATTCTTTTCATTTTTTATTTTGTTTGTAGTTGGTTTCTCTTTTGCGCTTCTTTGTATTTTGATTTGAATATTTTTTTTTTTTTGGATTTCTTTCGTTTTTTTTTTTTATTGGGCACGCGTGCGCTGCATTGTTGCTGCCTGTACAGTAGTTACTCGCTATATGAAGCGCACGTTTTGTTTGCGTTTTTTAATATGTTTTTTTTTTCGTTTTATGATAAAGTTGTTAATTGTGGAATTAGGCGCATATTTGTTGTAAATGTTTTTTAAATTTATTTATTTATTTGCGTTATGTATATTTAATATGTAAGAAAACATTGATATTCAATTTTAATTTTTTACGTTTTCAAGGAATGTTTCGGCTTTTAATTCTTCAAATAATTAATTTTGAAATAATTATGTTGTTGTTGCTGTTGCTTTTGTTACAATTTCAATTGTACAAATGATTTGCTTATTAATTAAATATGTTAACATTTTGTCTATGTTTTTTGTTCAATTGTTGCGGCTCATCAAATTTGTTTCCTGCACAAAAAAAAAATAAAGGAAAGTAAAGGAAAAGGAAAACAAACAAAACAAATACAAAGGCAACAAATATGTATATGTGTATATAGAATAGAATAGCAGAGCAGTTATACATAATTATATAATTTATGGAGCAATATAATAAACATATACATATAGATATATATATATATATATAATAATTATGGAATATACATAGTTAGTTGTACAAACTAAAAAACGTAAAACGTTTGCTATAGGTAAATGGCCAAAGAGCAATGCGTCTACATGAGTGTTTACTGTATTTGATCATATTTTTCTTTTTTTATTAAATATATTTGTTGTTTATCGATTTTATTTAAACATTCAGCCAGCGATGCGTTTTTTCGTGTATCTCTGGGATACGCACATAAAAATAAGTGACAAATTATTTGCTGTGCTTTTGAGACATTGTTCAGATATACATATGTATATATACATATACAAACATATATATACATATATTTATGCACTAGCGGGCATTACCCAAAATATTCGTTTTCCATCCATTCTCACTTCTGGCAAATTTGATATACAACCACTTTCCGCCGACTTTCCACATTTTTGGGTGAAATTTTCAAAAACCACGTCATGTCGTGGATTGGGATTTGCCATTCGACTGGATTCCAACTAATTTTCAGAGAAATTTGTGAAAATGCAACTTTCAGTACTTAGTTCAATGGACTTCAAGCTCATTTTCAAATATCGTTATAAAATGTGACTTGAGACGTAGAGAAGACTCTGATTTATACTTTTAATGAGCGGATGGAAAATGGGTGGAAAATCGAAGTCTACAGTTTGAAGCAAAAAAACTTGGACCGGGCAAAGCCGGCATATATTAGCTAGTAAATATATATATATATATATATATATATATTTGAATATATCTAAATATATATATATATATGATTATATATAAATATATATATATATATATATGAGACAATATATAGCGCGTTATATTAAATTACATACATTGAATAAATATAATTATGACAAAACAATTAGACAAAACAAAAAAAAAAAGAGAAAAATAGACATACATACATACATAATAATAATCAGATTGGTAATATATAATCATAAGCATAATAATAATTGTGTAAATTGTAAATATCACAAGCAGACGTCACTTGCATCGTTGATAAATATATATACATATATATATGATATATACGTATATACATTATATATATATTTCAATATATAATATATATGTACATATAAATATATATATATATATACAAATATTTGTTTATATGTAAATATGTGTGTATAATTGTTTATGCATGTGAGTGTGTGTAAATATAGTTGTGTGTGTTTATGTGTGTGTGTTTTTGTTGTACTGCTTTCTAAAGTGTTTGTTCTTGTTTTCCATACAATTGTGTGTGTGTGTGTGTGTGTGTGTGTGTGTGTTGGTATGCGTGTGTGTATGTGTGTGTGTGTGTGTGTGTGTGTGCCTGTGTGTATTACATTCATTGCTTAAATTAACCGATTTTTGTTACATTCGCCGCTTGTTACAATAAAGCTTTATTTTGAACAACATTTTTCTGTTAACTTTCACACACACACACACGCACACTCGCACATTTGTTTTACATTTATCTCAATTTAACCAAAATTGTTTGATTGTTTATATATATATATTTTCCTTTTTGTTTGTATTCGCATATTTTGTTTCAATAACTAGTTATAAACAGCTCTTAAGTGTAACTAACATTTTTTTGCTACCAAAAAAAAATTAAAATTGAGTACATAATTTCAACATATTTCGTTTGTTAGTTTTGTTGTTATTTTGTTTCTTGTTTTTACTACATACAAAAGATACTTCAGACAATTCGTACAGTTTTTATTATATATACTATATATATATATATATATATATATATATATATATATTTGCTTGTATTTTCTATATAAAGTTCTATGTAATATGCATTTTTTTTGTTGTATTTTTTTCTTTTGTATAATTAAAATTGACTTTTTACATTATTTAGCAGCTATTTAGTTTTTTCTGCGACTACTAAAAAAAAGTTATATATATATATATATATAGGCATGTATATATGCATGTGTGTGTGTGTATGCATTTTATGTGTATAGAATTAGAATTTATTATTTCTATAAATAGTTTTTGTGTTTGATTTTTGTAATTATTTTTTAATGAGAATCATTTATTTTATTCTTTTAGTTTTTTCTAATATTTGCTTAATTGGTGCTTTGCTTTGTGTGTGTGTGTGTGTGTGTGTTTGTGTGTTTGTGTGTGTGTATTTTTGTGTGTGTTTTCGAACACTTCTCTTCTCTTCTAACACTAAACTGTCTATCTCTATCTCTATGTGCTAAAGTGCTGTTAATAATCTTGAAACATTTTGTTGCCGCTGTTAACATTGGTTGTTTGCTTTTGTTTATTTGAATGTTGCTTGTTTAAACCCATCGCATAATTTACAAATATCATAGTTACTATATATATTCTTTACAATATACATAAGATATAGCACTTACAACATAAGATTCTATTTCTCATTTATAGAGCTCTGGACTGTGACTGTGACTGTGGCTATGTTGGCGGAGGCATTCTTGGTCCTGGTCTATTTGTCTCACTTTCTGCTTAAACTAAACTCAAAACGGAAACGGAAACGGAAACAGAAACGAAAACAAGAACAGGCACACGACAATATCGATATATATATATATACACAACGACACACAATTGATAGCTACATAAGCTTTTTAGATAATACACAAATTCTCGATTGAATAGAAAAAACGTAACCTGCAAATTTTCAAGTCTCAGTGTGTGTGTGTGTGTGTGTGTGCAGGTGAGTGTGTGCTCGTGTGTGTGTGTGTTTGTATGTGTGTGACTAAGATTGCATTGAGCCGCTCGCTGTGATGTTGTTGAGATGATTACGCTGCAATATATGTATATACGTGTATATATTATATGTATATACTAATATGTGTGTATATAATCTTTGTTCCTTCCTAATCGCCGCTATCCTCCCATTTGCGCTCCTCCATAATTCGATCAAAGCAGTCCGCAAGAAATGCGTGCTACAAGCAATGATATATAACAGTTAGAACGGATTATGTATAACAGTTAACGGTATATCAAGTATAATTACATATGGCGTATAGACTTTGACCCAACGTGCCGGCTTATCTGGACGATTGTACTGAAAGCAAAATGACATAGACTCCTCATCGCTCTCGGAGCGCGTTATGCTATCCCATGTTAGCTCCACCATTTGCGCCTCCAGGGAGCCATCATCGCGGCAGGCGTGGAGGCGAAAGCTTTTCATTCCTGCAAAATGCAATAAGCAAATAGACAAATTGAAAACGGGTATATTGGAGGGAGGAAAAATAAGCGACGGAGATGAAGGACGAGAGATTGAGATAGCGAAAATGAGACTTATAGAGAGAGTGTAGGCGAGAGAGAGAGAGAGAGAGAGAGAGAGAGAGAGAGAGAGAAAGAGAGAAAATGGTAACGAAAAAAATGACTAACATGACTTACAAATCAATTTTTGTATCTGTGGCTTGACTTGAGTTCATGAGAATCGCAAAGAAAGGTGCTAATATAAAACCATACTAATATATACTAAATATATCACTACGAATTGGGTATCATCTGAAGAACTCTCAACTCTCTGCTGGAGCAAGCGAAATAGGGAACGAAAAAAATGTTTGATTCAATGGAATTGGCTATAAATGAAATTCTTAGCTAATTGCTCAGCACTTGCACAAATGAAACTAAGTGTGTTTTTTTTTTTATTTCAGATTGGATTTGTGACTCACCCACGGCGGGCACAACATGTCCCTCCTTGCGACTATCACAGGAGCAGTGCGGAAAGACGACATCACCGTAACCGGGCAGTGTGCGGGCCAGTGTCAAATAATCGTTGGCCTTTTTGGCATCCTGCAAGGCTTTCAGCTCATAGAGCCGGCCATCGGCGCGTATATTGCCGCGATTGACCTCATCGACCGCCTGATAGAAGATGAAACGCGCCGCCTGCTCGCCAACGGGCAGCTTCAGCTCCTTGTTGACGGAGAAGAGCCAGCGTCGCACACAGAGGCATGTCGACGAGGCGGTGCTATAGTTCTGCACATAGAGCTGATGGGGTATCTCGTTCGGCTGCAGCTTGCGCTCGAAATTGTACTCAACGATCTCGAACAGATAGAAATATTGTTGCGTATAGGCTGTCAGATTGGCGCGCTGCACGAGTATCTCCCAAACGACCTGGGCGCTGGATGATTTCTTAACCGAAACGCTGGTCACCTCATGATCGGGCAGCATAACCTTAATGTCCACCGGCGATGCGGATACATCATCCTCGGTATCGGTTAGAAAATCCTGCACAGCATCACTTTCGGCAATCACGCGCACCGCGCACACCTTCTCCAGATACTGTTCGAGTCCGCGCCGGCGTGTGTCCAGCTGCTGTTCGCTCAGCTGGAATGGCCATTTGCCGGGCAGCTTCGGAAAGTTGAAGCCGCTGAACTCCTTGCGCAGCAGCGAATGCAAATTGGCGAACTCACGATATCGACGGGAGCACAGCTGCCGTCCGGCCATATGGATATTGAAGACAATATAGCGTTCACCATTCCGATTCACAATGCTGTAGTCGGGTATGCTGGAAGAGACGGGATTTAGTCTAGTGAGGCCTTCTAGTGATTGGGTTCTACTCACCTGATGGGCAAGGAGCGCTTGTCGGAGTAGTCTATGTAGGAGTAGCCGGTTTGATCCTCCTGCGGCTCCAGTCTGTCGGCCTCCTGCTGGGTCACAGATATCACCGTCAGGGTCAGGCAATCCCCACCAGATTTGATCAGATCCACCACCTGTTTGTGTGTGGCGCCCTCCACGCTGACGCCGTTGCTGCAACAAATGACAGATTTGAGAAGATGAGTATATGCGTTATTATTGGAAAATCCTGATGCCCGTCCACACGTACCGCCGGCAGCGACGCTCCATGGCGCTGAGCTGGGCAAAATGCACGCCATGGAAGGGCAACATTTCGGAGGTATCTATATAATCTATATATCTGAGCTAGTGCATCACAGTTGCCGGCTCGATTGCCAATCTTCAAATGAGCTGCTGCTTGCTGCTCGCCGTTCAATTTAAGAGCCCAAGCGAAACGGAGACAGGGAGAGACAGGAGAGAGAGAGAGAGTGAGAGAGTCTGATCCGATTGATCGCTTGGAACACCTTGTGGCTGGCACTTGGCGCACTGATAACGAGCCGCAGTCCCCAGACATACGATTCGGGTCAAGATGAATTTGTTTTAACGATAAACTCGAGCATTTGCAATTGTTGAACTTTTCAATGGAGCGCATCTACTCGAAAATTAAATATTGCACTTGTATAACAAATGAGTGTAATCCTGGCAAATCCTTCAAAAAGATCTCTAAATACTACTATATGTTGTATATGTTAAAGAAACTAAAATAAGGTAACATTTAAAATATGTTTTATAATGAAAGAGGACGAGAAAGATTGAAATAAAAGTGAAATTGAAGAAAATCGTTTGAAATTCGAATTTCTTTGAAAATCGCATGGAAGGGCGATATTTAGAAGCTGGAGCGATTAAGTGAGAGCGGGAAAAAGCGTGACAGACTAAGACCGAGAGAGAAAGAGAGAAGGAATTATTGATATAGAGGGAGCGAGAGAAAGAAGGTGAGAGGACATGTGAAAGAGAGAAAGAGAATGGGGAAAAGAGCGTGACAATGAGAGACAAATAGATGTTAAAAACGAGAAAGATTAAGACAGAGAGAATGTAAGTGAGATAGAGAAAGAGAGAGAGAGAGAGATAATTTATGCGAAAGAAAGAGAAAAACAAAGAGAGACGTAAGAGAGGAAGAAGAAATATACAAAATGAGAAAGTGAATGGGAGTAAGAATAAGCGAGAGAGAAAGATGAGAAAGGGAGAGTAATTGAGAGAGTTTTAGTGTGTGAGAAAAAGTAAAAAGAGAGAAGATGGTAGCAAAAATAAAATTGTATGAAACTTCCGCTTATAAAATGGCTAAAAAAGACTGATAGAGCTCCTGAGAATCGCAAAGAAAGGTGCTACTTTAAAAATTATTTTGGCTTTAGTTTGCAGCTGACCGAACAGAGCTGCCAAAACATGAAATAAATACTTTTTAGTCGCCAAAATATATGCCAACTGGACGGACAGATCAAATGTACATATACCCAAAAAGTTAAAAGACGGTAGATTTTACAGAAATCTTATTTACTATTCAATTCTTTACCTTTTCCCAACGTAGCTGCTCTTATTCGTTTCCTCTAAAGAGATTTTACGTAGATCACCGATCATAAGGCCTGTCAGTTCTCATGAATACTTAATCACATTTGATTTTAAAAGCCATGAGGGGATTAATCATTTTTGGCATAAATATTTTCGTGTGTCTGATCTAACACTTACTTATGTGCGAATGATGGGGGATTTACCGAGTGAGCAGAGAAAATAGATGTTCTAGGCAAGGATTGATTTTTTTCTTTTTTTTTGGGAATATTGCTGTCTGGTTTGTAGAACTAGGAGATACCCAGAACTCAATGCCAAGCTCGCATTGCAAACATTCTAGCTTTCTTCTACTGATTCATACACGAAGCCTCGGTGCTTAAGGTCCGATCTGTTTACAATTTAAAATGGCAAAGAAAACTATGCATAAACAAATAGAGCAAGGGCTCTGCCTTTAAATACAAGGACCTGCATGACAAGTTTATATCGATATATCGATTATATGAATATGGGAGATGACGAGAAAGTTTGGTCAAGATATCTTAATACACAAAACAGTTGTCCATACAAGAACCTAATTTTCGACGAATCTTTCCTATGGAAGCTATGTGATGCAGTCGTCCGATGCGGCCAGTTCCGACATAAGCCCGAAACAGAAAGGCGGACCTAGGCACAGTTACAAGACGATCGAAGGACAGGCTATATCCAATGGCCTAGTTCATGCTGATCTAGAATATACTCTATTTAGTCGGGCATATTTTCTATGCTTGGCACATTTCATGACAAAATTAGAATACCCTCAAACGAGTTGACAAAGCAGCAAATGCGTAACAATAATGTAATTGATTTTATTATCACATTCAGAGGCATTTGACACTCAATAATATTATGGTATATTTATTGAATAATTTGCGGCGTCTGCTGCTGCTGCCTGCTGCTGCTGCCTGCTGCCATTTGCCCCCATTTCGCATTAGTTTTGATCGGGTAAATGCTTTTAGCAAATTCAATTGCCAATTGCATTGGCTGGAGGAGCTGTCAGGGCGGCTGCTTGTGGCTTGTGGCTTGTTGCTTGTTGTTGGCTTCCTGGCCACCTTTTGGGGCCAACTTTGGACGCGTCGAGGTCTGCCAGGCCAGGCCAGAGACACTTCTTAGACATTGTTGTTGTTGTTGTTGTTGTTGTTGTATAACGCTCTCTCCCTCTGTGTGTATGTGTGTGTCTTTCCGGTTTGACTTTTGCCACCGCAGCACAAATAAATAAATCGCAGCTATCGTTTGTTGTCGTGTCGCTGCTGACGCACAGGGACAACAACAACAACAACAACAACAACAACAAAATGACATGACTCACATTCAAGCATACCTAACATACATACATAGTTAACGTATGTATGTGTGTGTGTGTAATAACTACACGTACATCGATATTAGCCCTGTGCTCGACTGCCCAGATACTCTGTAATTGTTAACAGTTCAAAGTAACAAGAGCTTTAACTGCTCTTCATTAAAAGAGTTAAACAGTTAATTGTTCTTTGGTTCAGGGTTCGAACCAGCTACCTGCTGGCTACATTCGGCTCGTGAACCGGGTTTATCAACACTATGAACCCAGCAGTTGGTTCACGTCTTGGTGCATTTTTTCTTATTTGGATAGAAGGTTCGGTTCAAAGCAAGTTTGCAGCCTTCGGTAACATTATCTAGCTCATACCTTGGCAATAAATCTATATGCAAATTGGCAGACTGTATCGATGTACATCTGTTATCGTCTGTGCGGCGTTGCCAGATGCGCACTGCATTGCCAAACTGGTCACATTGCGCACTGCATTGCCAAACTGGTCACACTGCAATCATATCAATTATATGCCCATTTAACAGACTGATAAACTGACTGCAAGTTTGACAATGGACAAAAAAAGCAGCTGTCAACTTTGACATTAATATAAGCAGGCTTTACTTTGATACAACTATACAATGCACAAAGCGAGCCCAACAATGAGCGACAGGCAACTGCTTTCAATGATTAAGTTAACTAAGTTAACTTTGGCATTAACAAGAGCTAATTGAATTTGCAACGCAATTGTAAAACTATTTAAGGTATCTGTTTGCTGCGACACCAAAGCTAATATGCCTTTCATGTGGACCCAGTCACGCTACCCAAGCGAAATAAAAAATAAAATGTAAAGAAATAAAAGTGCAAGAGACAAGCGCTGGCTGAGATTAGGACAAAAAGCGCAGACATGAAACCAGTTTCAGCAGTAAACGTCTAGAGAAGACATCTACTAGACAAGGAGCGCAAAGAAGCTCAAAAGATAACAACAACACTTTTCGACTGCAGAGGGCGCTGCGCTGCTAAACATTTTTAAAAGCTTGAACTCTGCAAAAAGAAAAAAACGTTTCGATTCCAGGAAATGCCTTTTGTGAAATATGAAAATGAATTCAGTGTTGCTTTGGTTCGCATTCAGCATATTTTTTGGCCAGGGCTGCACACGCAAGCAAAGTTGGCTGTGGTTCGGTTCACGAACCAGTTCTTTGCTTACAGATACGGTTCGTTAGCCGGATTCTTTACATTTATGTCACTTTTTTTGGGTTAACTCTTTCGAGTAAATTTTAAAAATAAATATGATTTGAAAGGGAAACAAATATTTTGCAATAAATCATTTCTATTTTTTTTTTTTATAATAAACTTTTTTGATTTAATTATTAAAATCACAGTTTTCTTTATTTCCTGCTGGATTGATAGGAGTTTTAAATTATATATTTGCAATTTAATTGTTAAATTAAATAGCTTTTTTGTTTCCTTTTTTCCAGCTTTGTACTGTAAAAAGTTCACTATCTAAATAGCCAATCCAACATGTTTTATTATTCACCAAAAACCTTGAATGTTAACGTAATTATAAATAAATATACCCTGTAAATGTAATCTATAATATATATTCGATATGATGAACATTCTCAGAGACTGTAAAAATGATTATTAGCAAATGTTGGAAATAAACAAAACTCTTTCAGACATGGGCAAATCATATTTAACAGACATATATTTTTTAAATTTACAAATTCATATTTACATCTTATCGTACGACCCCAACTGAACAAACAGGGTATTTACCAGTCGAGCAGTTTGTTCTAGAACCTTCCTCGTCGTTGCTAATTGTTTCTATTTTGTTTATTGCGTCGAGTAATCGCAATTCTGTTTTGCATTCTGCTTTGCTCTGTTGTTGCTTCGCGCACTTCTTGGCTTTCGTTCACAGTTCGCATTACAGCTCCACCTCCTTAAGAACATGCCCCCTTCCCTGCCCCGCTCCCCTGCCCATAAATTTCTCCGCCCACAGCCTCTGTCTCTTACAAGCCTGAGAGAGCCATCGAATGTTTCTGTCTTGGACTTGTGACGTCGCAATTCCGGAAATTTTTAAGAGGCGCGGAGCTCGAAAGCTACAAGATCTAGATTTCTGAAAATGAATATATATTGCATTCCATGCCATACGCAACGGGTCCTTAATTATCCTTTCAATATGTGCAGTTTTTTTTAAATATCGATAAATATCGATTTTGGGACTCGATTATTAGAAGAGCTAGACTCGCCAAACTTGATATGTGAGTTCTTGTATAAAAACTTTTTCACTTTTTGGATAACTTCCCGCATG